GACCTTTGGTCCGATCCAGTATGGCCATTCTTATGTTCTTATCAGCGGCATAAAAAAAAACTAGATGAAAAAAGCACAGAGAAAGAAACCCTCAAGGAAGGATTTAGGAACCCGGCTTTAGGCACTTGTTTGTTTTTTTTTATTTTGTTTTTAAATCTTGGCCATAGAGTGGCTTCTGGAAAACTTTCTCCATGCAATTGCACTGGGTGAATAAAGTTCTTGCCACCACTCACAGAGTAAAATCAAGGCAGGTCCTCTCCAGGAACTGAAACTCTGCTTAGAATGAAGTTTCTATTATGGAAAAAAAAAATCCCTTTGCTAGAAAAAGGTTCCATTGTACAACATTTATGTTTGCATTGCTGAGAGGATGCTTGGCACGAAGACACAAGGGGCCAGACACCTCACTAGAGTAAGCCAGTGTAGCTCAATTGATTTTTGATGGACTTAGGTTGACTCATACCAGCTGAGATCTAGTCCAGGGGGTCAGGAGAACATGCACACAAATATCCTACGTTTTGCCATATTTCTTTGTCCCCTGTAATTTCAATAGATTCATATAGTTTCCTTGAGAGATTCATGTAACCCCCATCATGCTACTAATAAAACCCACCTATCAACTGGACAATCAACCTCATGCCCCTAAAATAGTGCCATTTTCTTCAGCTACAGCTTGTAGGAAGCCAGAGTTCTCTATATGCAGTGTTTGGCACTCATTTTTCTTGGAGATACGTTATTCTCCTGACTGAAAAATTCCACATCAAACTGTTGCATTTACATACATTATGCCTTCGCCTCTTGAGCTTTTCCTTATCCATAAAAGCTGTTTATGGTCTACAGCGTTCTTGTTTGTGTCCTAGAGACCAGACAACACTGATTTATTGGCAACATTTCCAGCAGGGGGAAGAGGTAAACCACACAAAAGTCTTCATGCGCTACACCTATATAATGAGTGTAACATGACATAGTTAGAGCAGGAACATGCAAACCACAGAAAAATAGATTCCCCTGGCTCGGAAGTTATTATCTGATTAGAGTTGAGAATTTCCTTGGCTTCCTGTCCTACACTGTCGGACTAATAATAGGTGATGACGGTACTAGATTTACATTGCATCTTACTACATGCACCATCTAATATTGCAGATCCACAGGGGAATCCTGAGGGTTGGCAGGAGAGAATATGAGTCTGCCTGTGCTGGGTCTATGATGGGGAAACTCTGAAGGAAGGATACAATTTATTAATTATTAACATGATTACTAATTACGGTAGCACCCAGAGGTGCCAGTCAGCTTGGGGACCCATTGTGCTGGATGTTGTACAAGTGGATAGTAAGGAACAGCCCCTGCCTCAAGTTAAGATGAGACACAGTAAGTGGTACTAGCGAGCAGCTGAAGGAAGGATAAGAATAACGGTGATAGGAACAGACGGTTGCCTTGACTAGTTGCATACACAAGTTGCAGGTGAGTGCCACTGAGACAGTCACCCAGGTGAGTGTCTTCAGGTGCACATATTTTCTGAGGTGACCATCCTGAAGTATAATGGACATGTGCCGAAGAATGTTATACTGGCTGCCAGCTAGGTACCAAGGAAACACATGGGATGTACACAGTAGTTTGGGAGGAGGCCTTGCTTGGAATGGATATAAAGTCCCAGGGAACAACTGGCCGATCAGGCTGTGGGTTAGAATGCTGAGGCTACAACGGGATATGGAAGCATTTCCATGTCTCAAGGAAGAGAGAGTGGCAAAAGGAACCCTAGTTTGATGACCCCTAATGGGTGTCGTTTGCAATACGCCACAATTTTCCTGTTGATAAGTCAGCATTGGCTCTTTTTGTCATTTTGTTTGTAGTTATCATCTCATGCTTGGCTCCTTTTATATATTTGTGTATTTTATACAGTTCGTTATTAAGTATAAATACATTTGATCTTTTTATCGGTTTCTCCCCTACCTTCTGGAGGCTGTTTTGTTTAAAAATAACCATAACAATAAATTAAAATGGGGAGTAGAATCTAGAACAATGGTGCCCTACATTTTCTTGGTACCCTGCTCACCCAGGAACGCACTGCTATTTAGCCAGGATCCGGCCTAGACTCCCCCTCCGATGTAGCAATACGAGAAGGGCAGTGAATCACATACAGAGAATTCTACCCAGTATTCACCCAGGATGGGAGACAACACTAGGCTCAGGAAAATGAGGACACTTAGAATAAGAGGAATTTTGTGGCCTTTATTGAAAAAATCCACCACATTGTGTTGCACAACCCACTAGTTTAGGGACCAGGGCAGAAGTGAAAGTAAGATGGTACAGTACAGTACAGCGTACCGGCAAGAGCCGGTACACAGACAACCATACTGGCAGGAGGAAGCTTCCCCAAGCTGACAATTTAAAAGGGTCCTGGGCTCCTGGCAGCAGCCAGAGCCCCTGGCCCTTTAAATTGCCACCAGAGCCCCCTGACAGCCCTGGGGTAGTGGCAGCAATTTAAAGGGCCCGGGGCTCCAGCTGTGGTAGCAGTGGCCGGGAGCCCTGGGCCCTTTAAATCACCGCCAGAGCCCTGGGGCTCCCGGCCGCCACTGCTACCCCAGGGATCCGGCAGCGGGGCTTTGGTGGCGATTTAAAGGGCCAGGGGCTCCAGCTGCTGCCGGGAGCCCAGGGCCCTTTTAAATTGCTGGCCTGGGAAAGCTGCTCCCCGGGCTGGCGGTGGCAGCCAGGAGCCCCGGAGCTCCGGTGGCGATTTAAAGGGCCTGGGGCTCCCGGCTGCTGCTACTGCAGCCAGAGCCCCGGGGCCTTTAAACCATTGCTGGAGCTCCGGGGTAGCAGCGGCGGCCGAGAGTCCTCGGGCAATTTAAAGGGCCTGGGGATTTAAAGGCCCCACCCCTTCCGCCCAAGGCCCCGCCCCCCACCTTGCTCAGAACCCCGGCCCTGCGTACCAGTTAGTCCCTTAAGTTACTTTCACCCCTGGACCAGGGGTAACTTAATTATCACTGGGTGTGCTCCCCAGCTGTGGGCAAGTTTCACACGGTAGATATGTGGCGAATATCGTCTTGGTGAGCGTGTGTGCTAAGGTGGGCAAGTGGGCGGAGGTGACTATTAAAGCTGGTCAACATTTTTTGTGCAGAGTGTTTTCCCGCCAAAAATATCGTGTTTCATCAAAACTGAAAACTTTTCAAGGGAAAAAATATCCATTCTGATGAAAGAGCTTGGTTTTTCCCGCAAGAAATTGTGAAACACAGACTTTCCATTTGAATAAACATTTCTCAGTGAAATAAAACATTTTTATTTTGTGGTGACGTAAAATGTTATTTCCTTTTGTTTTTGTCCAGTTTAAATAAAAATAAAAGCCAACAACAAAATAATCAAAATGCTGACACAAAACAAAGATGTGCCTTTTACCTCTCCAACACATCATCAGTGATCTACAACCCATCCTGGACAATGATCCCTCTCTTTCACAGACCTTGGGAGGTAGGCCAGTCCTCGCTCACAGACAACCTGCCAACCTTAAGCATATTCTCACCAGCAACCACACACCACACCATAACAACTCTAATTCAGGAACCAATCCATGCAACAAACCTCGATGCCAACTCTGCCCACATATCTACACCAACAACACCATCACAGGACCTAACCAGATCAGCTACAACATCACCGGTTCATTCATCCGCACGTCCACCAATATTATATGTGCCAGCAATGCCTCTCTGCTATGTACATTGGCCAAACTGGACAGTCACTACGTAAAAGGATAAATGGACACAAGTCAGATATCAGGAATGGCAATATACAAAAACCTGTAGGAGAACACTTCAACCTCCCTGGTCACACAATAGCAGATGTAAAGGTAGCCATCTTACAGCAAAAAAACTTCAGGACCAGACTCCAAAGAGAAACTGCTGAGCTTCAGTTCATTTGCAAATTTGACACTATCAGATCAGGATTAAACAAAGACTGTGAATGGCTAGCCAACTACAGAAGCAGTTTCTCCTCCCTTGGTGTTCACACTTCAACTGCTAGCAGAGGACCTCACCCTCCCTGATTGAACTAACCTCGTTATCTCCAGACTGATTCTTGCCAGCATATTTATACCTGCCCCTGGAAATTTCCATTACATGCATCCAACGAAGTGGGCATTCACCCACGAAAGCTTATGCTCCAATACATCTGTTAGTCTTAAAGGTGCCCCAGGACTCTCTGTTGCTTTTTTCATTTCTTTGTAATCTTTCATTTGTTTCTCAAGAACAAACCAAAATGCATTGTGTTTTTAGATGTCGATTTAAAACAAAAATGTTATATCTCCAAATTCCCCATCGGGGGGAGGGGAGGGATAAATTGTGCATTCAAAATTTCTCGCAGGAAAAATTAAGGTTTTCGGACCAACTCCAATGAATATTATCAGTAAGCGATTCCCCCGGAAGAGCTGGGTGTGTTCCTCCTCCTGCCATGGTGGGCATCTCCCTGAGCATCCTTGTGGACTCCCGCTGGCCTGGGCGGGAGGGTTTTGTGCCTCCCCTGGGATGGGCATACCTTAAGATTCACCATCCCCTAGATTGAGCCCCTCTGTGGAGCAGGCATCTCCCTAGGCTTCCCCTTCCCCGGGCTGTGCCCTGCCTGGGACGAGGCAACCTGCCCCTCTCCATGCGCATCTCTTTACGCTTCTCTGCCCTCCACCTGGGGGGCATCTGGGCTCCTTCTCCGGAGCAGCACTGGGGCTTCTGGCTGGGCTGCAAGGACACCTCTCCCCGGGGTGCCACCTGGGCTCCCGCCGGGCTGTCCCGGCCCAACACCTCGCTCCCTCCCCGGCGCGGGGCGGTCTGTGGGCGGCCCCGGCGCGGAGTGACTGGCGCTGGGCGGCGCCCGGGCTGGGGGCGGATTTTTTGAGCCGAGCCCCGGCGCTCCTCTCTAGAGCGGCGGCTGGCGGCAGCGGCGGCGGGCGGGTCTCTCTCCCTCTCCGGCCGGGCGAGGCGGCGGCGCCCCCCCGCTGCCCTGCCCCGCTCTGCTGTATGGACGAGCACCGGAGCCTGCTGCGCTCGCCGGCCGCCTCCTCCTCCAGCAGGCACCCGCGGGGCGGCGGCAGCAGTACCAGCCACCACAACCCGGGCTACACGGAGCCGCCCCCCCCCGAAGCCCCCCAGCCCGGCCCCGAGCAGGAGGAGGGGGAGGAAGCAGAGGAAGAGGAGGGCGGCATGACCGTGGTGGTGGGTGGGGGGGACCCCCTGCTGGAGGAGCCCCAGCACCCCCACCCGCTGCTGGCGGGAGAACGCTACGACCACCCACCAGCCCACGTCCCGCTGCCCCCCGGCCACCACCCGGTGGGCGGCGGGGAGCACGAGTGCTGCGAGCGGGTGGTGATCAACATCTCGGGCCTGCGCTTCGAGACCCAGCTCAAGACCCTGGCCCAGTTCCCCCAGACCCTGCTGGGCGACCCCCGCAAGCGGATGCGCTACTTCGACCCCCTGCGCAACGAGTACTTCTTCGACCGCAACCGGCCCAGCTTCGACGCCATCCTCTACTACTACCAGTCCGGGGGCCGCATCCGGCGCCCGGTCAATGTGCCCATCGACATCTTCTCGGAGGAGATCCGCTTCTATCAGCTGGGCGAGGAGGCCATGGAGAAGTTCCGGGAGGACGAGGGCTTCATCCGCGAGGAACAGAGGCCCCTGCCCGACAAGGAGTTCCAGCGCCAGGTGTGGCTCCTCTTTGAATACCCGGAGAGCTCCGGGCCGGCCAGAGGCATCGCCATTGTCTCGGTCCTTGTCATCCTCATCTCTATCGTCATCTTCTGCCTGGAGACCCTGCCTGAGTTCAGGGACGATCGTGACTATGAGGGGACGGGGGGGACCTTCGGCACAAGCAGCGGCCCCTTGGCGACGGATGTCTTCACCAACTCCTCCTCCGCGGCTGTCTCGATGGTGTCGTCCTTCACCGACCCCTTCTTCGTGGTGGAGACACTGTGCATCATCTGGTTCTCTTTTGAGTTGCTTGTCCGCTTCTTTGCCTGCCCCAGCAAGGCCACTTTCTCCAAGAACATCATGAACATCATTGATATTGTGGCCATCATCCCCTACTTCATCACCTTGGGCACAGAACTGGCTGAGAGGCAGGGGAACGGCCAGCAAGCCATGTCCCTGGCCATCCTCAGGGTCATTCGGCTGGTCAGGGTCTTTCGTATCTTCAAGCTCTCACGACACTCCAAAGGGCTGCAGATCCTGGGGCAGACCCTCAAGGCCAGCATGAGGGAGCTGGGCTTGCTCATCTTCTTCCTCTTCATTGGAGTCATCCTCTTCTCCAGCGCTGTCTACTTCGCAGAGGCGGATGACCCCACCTCAGGCTTCAGCAGCATCCCCGATGCCTTCTGGTGGGCGGTGGTGACCATGACCACGGTGGGCTATGGGGACATGCACCCAATCACCATTGGGGGCAAAATTGTGGGGTCCCTCTGTGCCATTGCTGGGGTGTTGACCATTGCCCTTCCCGTGCCTGTGATAGTCTCCAATTTCAACTACTTCTACCACCGGGAGACCGAAGGCGAGGAGCAAGCCCAATATCTGCACGTAGGGAGCTGCCAGCACCTCTCCTCTACGGAGGAGTTGAGGAAGGCACGTAGCAATTCCACCCTGAGCAAGTCGGAGTACATGGTGATAGAGGAGGGGGGCATCAACAACACTGCATTCAAACAGGCTGCCTTTAAGACGGGCAACTGCACAGCTACAAACAATCCCAATTGTGTGAACATCAAAAAGATCTTCACTGATGTTTAAAAAAAAAAAAGCCTCTGAGGAAATGCTGAAATAATAATAATAATGCAAAGTGACCATGTAATCAGTATTGTCTGGAACATGCATCATCATTGGTCTGTGTGCGCCCTTGTCCAACACCTATATTTTTTAGATCATTCCTTTTAAAGAACAAAGAAGAGGATTACAAAATAATCAGACGATAAGAGGATGGGGGTGTTTGTGGAAAGAAAGATCAGAGGACAAAAAAGAAGAACACGCTCCCCGTTGAAACAGGTGTTTTTTCTGCAACACGTTGCAGGGCTGCTTTGTGGGTTTTTTTTGTGGGCAGCCGGCCTCTTTTCTCGTTTTTGCAAAGAGTCGCTGTGTAGCCGGTTTCCCTTCCGATCACACACACACGCACTTGTTGGACTGAAAACCGTGAGTTGGAAGGGAAGAAAATATTATATTGCAGAGCCTGTTGGCAGGCAAGGGGAGGGAATAACCATTTAATTTTGCAAAGCATCTCTGTCTGCTACCACATTGTTAAATGATGCTTAATACTGAACGTGTGGTATATGTCCTTTATGGGCACATCTTTGATTTCTTTTCTTCCCCAGCCAGATCGTCTATGAAATTCTAATCTGTTCAGAGACCCAAGTGTAATCAATTTTGATTTAATCAGAAAAATGCCCCCCTTCTCTATTCCTAATTCCCTTCTCCCACAACTGTATGGAATTGTTTCATCCAACCCAAAATTCCTGGCTGCATAGTGTGTATGGGGAAATGTTCTTCCCACATGGAAAGGTTTAATAATTGACTAACCGAACAGCATCCTGAGCGTTTGAACATCCTATCATGCCAAAGCAGATTGGGGATAGTTAAGGTCCCATTAAACCAGTAATGGGCTTTTTGAAGTGACTCCAGCCTCAGACAAAACGTACCAAGAGCCTAGAAACAAAAGGGGGGGGTATTTTTGTCCATTTCCAATGCATTTGAGATAAGCGTCTGCATCTATCACAAGAAGATTAAAGTGACAAACACCTTCCAGCGGAAGTTACTAATTCAGACCTGAGTGATGCAGTTTCCATAGCAACCCTGGTTTCCTGGGAAACCCCAAAAGGTTGTCATGGTATCCCTTCGCCCCATCCCCCTTCATCCTGTGCTGTTTCCACAGTAACCCTTCCAGATGGTTCCAACTTCTGTGATTCCACGGAAAAGCCGCTGCCCTGGTAAACCGCACACACACATACCGAGAGTTAATCCCAGAGAGATTTAGGAGTAGAAATTAGTTATTATCCTAGATGCATGGTTCTTTAGATCTGAAACATTCCTGAAGTCCTGGTACCTACCGAATCAAGAAGCAAGATGATCATCCCTGGAATGCTGCTGTGCACATGTGCTGAATAAAACACCTGTTCATAGGCAATAAACCTCCAAATTCCCCTCGCTATCAAGTTAATATCTGGGCAGTAAAATTGAAAATTGATTCTCTATATGCAAATCTATACATCTGCTCAGAAGTTCTAGAAAGGCGATCTCATCCCTGACAGAATAAACCATACTTAAACTGATGGTACGTGACCTAGATTTTTCAAAAACCTCCCTCCAACTCCAAACAGCAATTCCACTTTCAAGCGTATACGGAACTGAACAACCAGACAGGAAACTTTATAACGCAAAAGGATATCAATCTTTTGACATTGGGGTGTGTGGAGGGGGAGTAAGCAGAGGCCTATAAAGTGCATGGGTGCAAAGTAACCAAAACCTGAGGGAAAATATGCCTGCCTCATCTCATCCAAGTCAGCAGCTGCAGAACATCAGACAGAAACAGGTGAGTTATGCGCTGTGGAGAGAACAGATTATGCGTTTTAAGACATTTGTGCTTTCAGATATAGACCTCATCTTTTTGTACCAACCACAGCATCCAGCCCTCCCTTTATGAACATGTATATGAGCTAAAGTGCAATAATCTTTTCCATAAGAGTCCCCTGACTTTTTTCCCCCCAGCTAAACTGTATGGTCTTATTTAATTTTGATTTTTCATATCATTTGGTTTCAATAATATGTATTTAGTTTAAATAGCACTACACATACTCATTCTGCAGAGAAGCATCAATACAGTTTGTGGCTTTGTTCACCAATATTATGCTAAAATTACGATTTCCACAATGGTTTAGTTCACGTGGTCTCAGATCCCTTTTAAAAAGAAAATCCAATGACAACCCATTCCTCCCTGTAAAGATGCAACCTTGGTGTCAGCAGTAAGGGCCTGATTAAGATGCGCTTAAGTCCCATTGAAGGTAAGGGCTTTGCTGAATATGGATGGGTTTAAGCACATGCTTAAGTGTTTTGCTGAATTGGAGGAATTTGTCTTATTTACAGCAAAATAATGTAGAAAGGAATGGGACTGGGCAGGTTATTACAGGCAAATAATTATCTGATTTTAATTATAAGCTCAGAATTTTCTTAAATTTATAATATGGTTTTATTCTTTATAAAATTCTTGGCTCTGTTGAACTCAACAGAGTTTCACCATTGACTTCAGAGGAGCAAGGATTTCACTCATGATTTACATGTGATATTCTGTTCTGATCTTATTTAAATTTACCCCTTTGCCTCCATCCTCTTTTTAGCCCTCCCCTCTTTCAATTAATAAAACCTTTGAGAAAATTCATTAGGCCAGATCAGCTAGTGTAAATTGACAGAAGTCAATCTGGTCAATTAATGATTATGCAATGGTCAGATATTATGGTGAGGGGAGCTATAGTTGTAGCTAGATAGATGTGAGTGCCCCTTTCTTGCCAGTTTTGTTTTAGGGGTGGGAGGATGATATACAGAAATTTGATCCTCCATATTTTTCTTTCCATACTTTCATGAACACTTTTGTCATTCGTCCAAGCACAAGTTGTTTGTCCATCAGTTGTCTATATAACTCCTTAACATGCCTTTTACATTTGTGTACCTGTACTTAAGTGTGATTTCAAAGATAGCAAATCCTCACTTTGATAAAACCATATGCAAATTTTCTCACAGAGGGAGAACATTCAGTGTTCCTCATTTTTTATTGAGGATATAAAACTTTTTTGGACGTGTTTTTGAAATATTAATCACAATTAAAGATTTTATTCACCTGGATTACAGTGGGAAAGCAGTGGAAATACTGTCCGCTTGACTTCCACTCAGAGAACAATAGATTTCCAGATGAATTCTGTGTTTGAATTCTTCTAGTGTCAATATGTTTGGATATGTGGGGGAGACATCTTATAAGCCCAAATATGGCACTTCGGAATCATTAAAAAAAAAAGCACACCTGTGTGCATATAGTGTGCAGCGAGGTGTAACTAATAATTTTGGATTTGCACGACCACTTCTTACCATATTTTTGTGGGGGGAAGGTGACCAAATAATTGGAAAAAATTATGTTTTTGTCCATAAAAGGTGATGTCCATAAGAGAGCTTGAAAAAAAAATCCAGTGAATAGGCTGCAATAAAAGAGCCCATTCCCCAAATATAGCATATGGTACAGCTGACAAAGCATGTCTGACAGCCACCAAAAATCGCTGCTGCTCTCTTCTTTACAAATGTAAACCGTGTAGACAAAACATTGAAAGCAGAGAGGTGGGAGGAGAATGGGGAAATGTGGAAATTCCATCACTGGCTACCTGCTCTTGTCTCCACTTCATAGCAGTGAGTGCAGCTTGGTCAGGATCAGGTACCGTATCTCTGCACAGTTGTGCAGTCTGAAGGTTATGCTTTCATTAGCTTTTCCAGACGGAAAATCTCGAGACCTTTCCTGTAGAGATCGGGGAGACTGTTGCTCCCAGTGATGAAGGACTGTTCTCTCTGCAGCCTGCTAGCGCTCTGTAATGCATTTTATCTCCCATCTTGCCATGTGCCTAGTGGATCTCTCAGGACTCTGACAGTCATTTTTGAGATAAAGATCGGCACTTTGCAGCACGTCGGACTAGAATGTTTTTAACGTGCTTAGAAGGGGCAGTGTTAGAAGATTAGTATTATCTCTTCTGCTGCAGGTAAATTGTCTGGCAGTTTATGGACAAACCTTCCCTAGCGGGGGTTGTCTAGTGTTATACACCATTATATTTAATGGAGGAAACATTAATAAAACTTCCCCGTTGACATTGTTTGTGTACGGACGTCAAGCAGTTCAAAGCTAGGATTTCTGCAGCAGCTGTAACTTGGCTCATCGGTAGTACTTTTGATTGCTCTACATGATGTTAACTTGAGTGGCTATAAAATGCATGTGCCTAATGGCATGGTTACCATTGCGGTGGGACCCGTAACTGAATTTTCTGGCTTCTGTGCTTTCTTGCCGCATCCCTGTCTTTCATACGTCTCATCTGGCAGCAGGGGTGACATTCACTCCCTGCGTTGAAGGACAGAGAGGACAGAATAGAAATAGACCATTCCCGCCACAAGGAACAAAACCCTGTGCCTCCTTGCTATTTGTAACCCATTGTAGCGTGGTTGTCTGAGCTTTCACAGACCTGGTCTCCCAAATACTTTTTTTTTTTTCTTTCTTCAAATTCAGAGTTCATGCAGGGCCACCACGTATCTTCAGGACATTAATGAGCCATTATAATTCTTGGCCTTCCCAAATTCTTTTGGTTTCATTGCACTTGTGTGCTGCTTATTTCCTAGACCACATAAAGAAGGGTGTGATCCAATGCACACTGAAGTCAATGGGAACTTTTCTGGTGACCTCAGTGTGCAGGTCCCATCACGGAGAGAATGTATCAATGATACAGAGGAATTTAGAAGTCCTTTCCACATGGTAAATTGTCCCTGGGCTGCATATCAGAGGGAATCTGCTACCAAGATGGTGTGTGTGTGTGGGGGGGGGGACGGGACTGCAACCACTGATAAGGGCTCTTAAGGGAGCTTCACTTTACACCTTCCAGTTCTAGTGTAGACATGCCCTAAATTTCCTCTAGGATGGCATGCAATGGGTACCACAAACAGCAGATTCCAGCCTTCACAGTAAGGGCCTTGTTGATACCTGGTGGCCCTGGTGAATTCTTCTT